GGTATATGTCTCAGCAATTACTGTTTTCAGACCAGGAAAGCTCAATTTAAGATAAAAACTATTTATTCCATAAAAGAGAAAAGCTATAATTCACTAATAAATGAAAAAATGCCCCAACAAAAACAACAAAATCAAACACAGAATTTATAGATAGAGAAATTCAAATAGTGGATGACTGGAAGGAAAGTTGCATTTATGTGAAATAAATATTCAGGGTTTTAACATTAAAGTGAGGTAACATAATCCTGTTCCTTTTGATCATAATACACAGATGATCAGGGTAGGGAGTCATACAAGCATGTAGAACTGTACCCAATTCTTATTTGATAAAAAAGAATCATGGACAAAGGACTCAAAGAAGACAGATAACAAGCTTCTGCATTTTCTGGCTCATTGTATCCAGTAGATACAGAAAGCCAGATTAGTATATTTTATTCATATTTACTTGAGTAGCTTTATTTATGTAGCATAGTTACCATCTGTGAAAACCAGTGCTTTACACAAAAATAATAGAGAACCTAGTTTAAAAAAAAAAAAAAAAAGTGGCTTCCAAAGTTAGTTTGCTGTTACCAATGAAATACATACTGCAATTTGGCAAAAATCTGTCTTGTGGGTGATTTGAGGGGTAGAAAGGCACCTGATCACCCATTTCCACACAGGCACTCTACCAACCAGAAAAAGATTTTTCTCAGATTGAAGCCTGAACCTCTGTTTGATGGGAGGGGGAAACCACTCTTCCCAAGCTCTCAAAAACTGTTGCAAGCTGACGTTTGACTGCTGAAACAGCCCTGCTTTCTCCAGTCTGGGGCACACAGCTCACTATGATTCAGATGTCCATGTTAAGTTACCATAGTTATATTTCATAGGCCATTTTTCTCACCTATCTGGAAGAAGGCTTGGCTGTCCCCATGCCTAATCTTTGTATCTTTAATGCAAGTGATGCATATTTTGAACTGCACCCATATAAAATTGAAATCAGCTGGCAAAAAAAGATATTTCCTATGAAAACATGTTTTCAAGGGAGAGATGAGAGGGGCAGTGTGAGGCATAAAAGAACTAAATGAGAAGTTGATGGTGTTGTAATGCTGCTAAAGATGTAGTAACTTTCGAAAGGTAATACCTTATTTAGGACACTGAAACCAAAGTATTTTCAAATTCTTGGATGCATTTGAATTTTAAAATTCCACATTTGTTATTAAAAAGTGTAGAGGAGGATTTTACACACACACACATACACACACACACACACACACACACACACACACTTAAAAAAGTTTGTTTTTTAGAAGCAGGAAAGGCAGTTTGCTTGAACTGTGTTCTGGTGTGCTTCCTGTGCACACGTAGGCCCTACGTATATCATCCACTGGCTGATTTTTCCCCAGCTAATCCATACATGTATTTTATTCATTATGTCATATGTACACATGACAAAGAACTTCAATCACATAAACACTGTTGTCTGGCAAACACATAGTTAATATGACAAAAAGTTACAGATTGCTCATATATAACTGTTACCTCTGGTTTGGTATGCCTTCAACAGCACCACTTTAGTGCCCAGCTGTAGCTTGTACCTGTTTTTGTTTTAGAGTCAGTGTATTTTGTAAGCTGTGTGTGATGCATGTGTGTAACTACAGCATATGCTGTTTATGAGCCCTTAATCTTTCTTCACTTGAGGCAGCACTGCCCTCCCACAGTTTGCAGAGTTCCATCTGCATCACTTGTCTTGAATTGTAGATTTGTATCATGGCAGAGTATAGAAAAGCTATCCTCAATCTTCTCATGACAGCTGCACAGCATTTTTCTAGGCTGGCAGTCATTGTCAAATCAGCAACAAACCTGCTGCATTTAGTGCTGCTGATTTTCTATAAGGCATTTCCAAGGCATTTTAAAATGCCCAGCGTTTAGTGAGGACAGTTATCATTTCCCATCCAATTTAACAGGGTATCACTGCAGAATTTTACCCAAGGATAGGCATAATATACTCAACCTGTCCTACAGCACTGTAGGACTTTCTGATAAGGTGAAATATAGTGCTTTGAAAATGTATATTCATGTATATTCCCAATAGCCTAATGAGCACAAAATTCATTCAGACATGTAGAAGACATAGCTAAATCCCTGAAACAGGATCCTAGTCCTGTGCGTTGTCTTACAAGGCCAGTCATAATTTTCAGTTGTAACTGTGCCATATTGGGTTAACAAATATTTCACAGAAGAAGGCCTTCAGCTCCTGTTTTATCCTGTTCTAGTTGCCTTTGTCTTATTTTTTCCCATTGCAAGTTTGGTTGGTACATCCCTAACAAAGTTCATGATGGAACAAAAAGAAAACCTTACCCAGCCTGAGTGGCAAAGGGAATGGCTCCTTAATTATCTGTGCTTCCCCTTAATTACTGCCACTTGATTTAAATCGAAAAGGCACTGCTTTAGAGTGACAATGTGTTTAGTCTAACATTCATCAGAATAAGAAAAATTGGAACATAGTTGTATTATGTAATGAAGAGAGAGAAAATACTGAGACTGTTAAGCTATTATCTGTCCCTATTTAGAAGTGGTTTTTACTGAGAACTGTAGCAAATTAAAGTAATATCAATTCTGATATAACTCTCTACTTTTATTGAAGGGTGACTCAAACCACCTTTTTATCTCAGAGGAAACAATATAATACCAGAGAAATGGCCTTTGAGAGAGAAACTGTATCCCTGGTTGAGAGTTTACATGAAGGTATTTTTCTAACATTTAGTGAGAGGTTTTTGTAATGGCACTGAAATAATACACAATGTGAAAGTGTAAAACTATATTGAATCAGAAAACAGACCTCACAGTACCTGTTACATGGGCTAATACGGGAGAGTCTGTGTTTTTCCTCACATCTATTTTCACAGAAAACTATTATTTTTATCAGTCTGTTTTAATCTGTTGTATTTCCCCTAAGTAGCAGATTCACCTTCATGGACTAATTTTTACATTGCAGTTCTGTTAGTGTCTTGTTTCCAAATGTTTTCAGGAATTGTGGTAGGCTCATGTCACTGTTAATTAACCTTAAAGGGAAGACAATACAATTCCTCTGTAATCACAGAATGATACTACAGAGTCTGTTTAGTCACCATTGCTTCTAACTTTTAAATTAGTTTTACAAAATAGCAAAACAATTTATAAAGTCACATTGAAACTTGAAATAATCAAAGTGGAAACTCTTTGGCCAGTAGCTAAATATTGTTCATTTACTGCTGGCAATGATTAATGTTCTAGGCAAATTATTACTGATTTTATTTCCAACGTGTCTACACACTTATGACAAAATTCAAGCTTTAGAAAGAAATTAAGACCAAATCCACAAGTACAGAAAATAATAATCTACAATAATATAATACTTTAATAATTTAAATTTTCCTTTCTCATAAGGGAAAAGTTATTCTGCAATTCTTACTATGAATCAAAGTTTTTGGGGTAAGTCTCTCTTTTTCTTTTTTAATTTTTTCAGTTAAACTGTGTAAGTAAACTGATAAATAATATTTTTGGTTTTGACCACATAGATAAAACAAGAAATTATAGGGATTATAAAAGTATTATATTTTTTATCCAACTCACAAAAACATCTGAATTGACAAAGGCAAATAGAAGTCAAATTTGATAGAAGCAATTTAATTTTAAAATTTCTTTTTGATGTGCACAAAGGCAGAGAACTCCTTGTGTGGATAAGCTTCCCTACAGTCGTCAGTGTGATTGGTCTCCAAAAGATAATCTTTATAGGAGTATCAGTTTTGTGTCAAGAGGACAGGAAAGGAGCCGATGTGCAGCAGCATGCAATGTGTGTGCCCTCTGTAAAGTTCTCTACAATAAAAAATGTCTCTGCTTTAACAGATATCCTTTAAGAGGGACTCCAAATGCCAGGCTTTAAGGGCTAAGTTGTGAAAGACGAGACGCCAGGGTCCAAGGCTTTTGAGCACCTGGACTTGGGGGATACAATGGAAAAATCCAACCCTTTTCCTGGTAAAAGAATGGGTTAGAGTGCAATGGAGGAAGTTCCTAATTTCTTCCTCATTAGTTAAGTACTAGGAGTTTTGGGGGCAAAATCCTAGCTTTTAAGGTTCCCAGTAATTTATTTGTTGTACTATAGATAATATATATAGTAAAAAAAAAAAAAAAAAAAGAGGTGATATTAGACTCATCTAGACATTAAATGTGTGCTGCTCATTGTGGCTAAACAGATTCAGTTACAGCTGCTTGATATGGTTAATTCTCTGTGATATTAGATCAATGAAACTGTAACTATGGCATTTTTACTAAAAAAGAAAAGGAACAAAAGGTTCATATTTCTGGAATGCAAAACAACATCAAAAGCCAGTCAAACCATCATAAATTCTGCAGTAGTCTTGCACATGTAATTATATCATCTGTTCCAGATGCTCCCAAAGATCTTTGAAAAACTGCATGACTTCTTCAAGTGACCTTCCAACATGAAATTTACTTTTGCAAACAACACTTGAGTATCAGATTATGAGATGATAATTTCTTTTAGAGAAAAGTAACTTCTGGTTTGCTATCAATTGTGTAAATTCATGAGATATATGTAATTTATTAAATTGTGAACTGTCTTGTTAATAACATCTGCATACTGATTGTAAACCTTCAGGTCTTTCCAAAAAATTGACTACTTTTGAATTCCAAGTTTCAATAACTGAGTACTTTTTATTTTACTATTACTCAAGTATGGCTCAGTGGACTGTATATTAAATTGATCTGATTCCCTTCCTAAGCATGAGGGGAAGGAGGGTTTTCTTAAAGACTGTAAGAATGGAAAAGGTCAGGACAACATGAAAGAGTATTTTTCAGACCACAAATGAGAAACTGATTGAAAGTTTGCAATGTAAAAATGCAGTCTAACCTCTGTTTTGCAGAGGTTGAGGTGCAGGTTTTTTGACCATTGACTAAAATAAAATTTCTGGTGAGAATCTTGTTTTACATAAAACCACACTGAACCAAACCAACCCCTCATCCAGATTTTATTCATATATTTATTAATACTTTATATCCTTCTCATGATATCAGTAAACTCTAAAATAATATTAAATTCATTCCATCAACTCTGTTCTTCCCCAAAACGCTGAAGAGGAATGAGGAGTGATAACAAATCAAACAGATATATGCATCACTAATCCATACAGCTCAGGTCTCCTTGAAATGTAAATTCCAGAAAGGGACTTGCATTTTCAAAGATGCATACAGCTTCTGCTAACTGGTGCTCCTGCATTCAGCTCATTTAAAGATTAGCTGTAAACTTCAGAGAAGAAAGAGAAAGACTTGATGCCTGCAAGTATAAATATAGAAAGACATTAGAATTTTCCCCCTTCCTTTTTCTTGGAAGACTATGAAATTTTATGTGGCATATAGACGTATGAGTTTTTCAATTACTAGCATCTACCTGAAATTTTTATTAAAGTATGCATTGTTTTCAAATTTGCTTCTTGTAAGAAAAAAATAAAATAGGAAAAGTAGATTTTCAGAATGTATAGGAAAGAGAAAGTAATATATTTTTGTCCGATATAAGCTGCATTTATGTTGCTCCCTTTGCTAATGTATTTCTGAAATTGGAAGGAGTTTTGTTTATCACTGAGGTTGCATTGGTCAGAAAGAACCAGCCATGCTAGACAATACTGGGAATCTGGATTTGGGTGTTCTGTTATCAGACTAAAGTGCTGTGCCCACAAAATAGAAAGAGCCATTCTGATATAGAATCACACTGTAAATTCAGAGTTCAGACATTTTCTGGTCTAACCTTTTACTTGACAAAAGACAAAGAAGACACTGCTAGGCCCAACTGTAGTCATTACCGTTTACCTATGCAATGTCCTTGTAGAGATGGTAGAAGAACAGCATAAACATTCTGTTCCTTGACTAATTTGAAACAAAATTTTGTATTTCCACAGATTGTTATTTGACATTGCATTTCTTAGTGTCTACATCTAATCAATATTAATGATTAAGAAGACACAATCTCAGAAAAGTGGAAGAAGTAAAAGACAATTTCCACCATCTGTAGAAATCAGGGATGTAGTAAATATACCTCAGAAAGGTAATTTCAGAGATTAATTATATGTTAAGGAAACAATTTGCTCTCATATATACAGCATAATTTCTCTCATATATACATATACAAGTAGTAGAACAGCTAAAGAATAAGATTCATTATATCATTTTTAACATTTTGCATTTTTTGAGAGAATGTTTGGTGGAAGATATTTCTACATAGAGTCTGATTCTATCCAGCTTCAGAAGAATACCTCTACTTGCCTAAGTAGCCCACTCATAAGGTATTAAAAGCGAAGAGTCAGCCCTGCAATACATACCTCTTAGCCTGGAAAGGGGAACAATCCCACGGTAGAAATACACTCTCCTTTAGGCTGAGCAGTGACTTAGGTAGAAAGACAGAGATGCAGGATCTTCATTGGGTTTGATGCTCAGAGTTGATTTTCTTCTTTGGTATTGATATGTAATAAATTGTTTACATGAAAAAGCAGAAAAATCAGCACAATACTGTTAAAAAGTACTGAAAATAAAATCCTGATGCAGGGCTAGAAATGGTTGTGGTTCTTACAAATAACCTGAGTATGTCGTGCTGAACACTGTGTCTGAGATACGTAACACAATAAGAGGTTTTTTTAAAGTTTAGACTATACCATGGTCTGCACCAAAAATGGCAAAATAAAACTACACCATGCTTCAGGGGCAAGTAAATAAGTTTTGTTCTTAACAAGAACTGTTGTGCCAATAGAGGTAATAGAAACCAAAGTCAAGAGAACAATAGAATAATTAGAGAGTACAAACATAATTCATATGGTAGTACTAAGAGCCTTTCCATTCAAAAACAAAGTGATAAAATTTATGCAATCAAATATTTGCACAGTCACTCGCTAATCATTAATATTTTTTGGCATTGATTTTTATTTTAGTGTATAGAATATTAGTGTTCCTGGGATATTTTAATTTCTTTACATTCAGAACCCTCACTTTAACCTCCTTCAAACAGTTTATATTTTTACTTTGGAGATTTTTTGAAAACACAAGATAGTAAGAGTGTGGTTTAATACCCATGTTATACAGACAGTAGCTTCTAGCTCACCTATTCAAAATTACAGGTGAAATAGATTCCTTCTATTATTAATTAAGTACTTCAGCATATTAAAGATGATGATTTATTTATTGGAGCTACTATGTATGCTCCTATTTTAACATACAATTTAAACTTATTTTATGAAAAATTCTATAAATCAACACCACTATCATGTGGGATATAAAAAATACTAACAACAAAAAATACAGAACAGTCAGAATAATACTATTTCCAATATTTACATTTTTTACAGGTAGATGCATTTTTCCAAAACAGCAGAAATCCTGTAGAGATACACCTTTGCTAAGTTTGCTGAAGTTAATGTATTTGCATGTGAGACAAAGAAGATCAGAATATGACTCCCAGTAATCATACAAATACATAAAACTTATTTTTCCCACCATAAAGAGTACCCTTTCCATGAGTAACAGATGTGTTTTTCCAATGAAGCATATAACCAGTGTATTAATTCTCATAATACAAGTCTTTACAGTTTAGAAAGATATGTCTGAAAGTGTGTCTCAGGGCCTTTTAAAGAAACATTGACCTCTAATGTTAATGCCAGTCAAAGGAATGATTAACCATCCTGTAAAACTTTGCATTGTGCTCTCTGAAGTAAGAATAGAGTTGGTCTAAAACAGTGCTGTTAACAAGAGGATGGGGACGTCCTTTGGATTCATGTAAACACCTCTCCCTCCCATCACTTCTGATGCAGTAGAATCCCTTGGTTTGGTTAAAATAAAAATTAGAAGACATAATTCGGGATGGAAGATTTAGAAATCTTTCAACTTTTTGTAATTCAGGAAGAGGGTCCTTGATCAAAGTATTTCCATCCACTATGTGAATCTGATCCAAACTGAAATGCTTAAGCCACTTTTCCATATGGACATCATATAGACTTCTCTGAATAGCTTTGTATTTGGTATTAAGTACTCCATTCTTAATAACAATATCTTCAAAGAGTTGAACAGGCTTGTGACTTTCTACTCTGTTGTAATACACTTGGGTATAGTCAGATATAACTCTCTCAGTGGGATCTCTTAGAATGAGCAGCAGTTTAATGGAGCTATTCATGTCATGAATTCTTCCTGGAGCCTGTGGTGATGTAAAATAGCCTGGTGTTTTCTCAATTGTAATTTGATTTCCATAAGAAAATGGCATCAGATTTCTATACCAGTCTATTCCTTTTACATAATTTTCATCCCAGTCAAAGAAGTGGACTTCTGTAGCTGCCACCACAATGTTAGGATGAATATCCAACATTTCCAGCAAAGCTCTGGTCCCTCCTTTACGAACTCCTATGATGATTGTCTGAGGTATTTGTCTGCTCGTGCCAGGAGGTCTTACCTGTGCTGAATAGTGCTCACTTTTATTGCTGAATAATCCCACTTGTGACTTCAGTGTTTCCAGCAGTGCCCCATTCTCAACAGGAGCACCCCGAGCATGAGTCAGCAGAAGATAAGCTGACACAAGTAGGAAGGCCATGTGGAGAGGAATAATTATTTCAAGATAATGTTTTGCTCAATTAATGAAAGAACAGGTGAGTCCCCTCTGGTTGGCAGAACCCGTGGTAAACACACAGCAAGCTTCTGAAGCATCTGCAAAATAAAACAAGACAAATCAGTGATTCTAAAGTCATCATGAGTTAAAAAATTCAACACACAATTCAATTCACAAAGCTAATCTGTGATACCAATAGGAAATGAATAAGGAAATTATTTGTTTCTCCTGAGTTTATATCAGAAGGACAGGAAAGTCCCATGTGTTGGGGCTTTTTTCTCCTTACCATGAGTGACCATTGATGGTTACTAACCTTTCAACAACTTTTATTTCCTCTAAGCAGATTAGAATTGTTTACCTGATTTTGAATCCTGACCATTTGTTGCTTGCTTTGATTTTCCTAATTATCTTCCATATATAGCACATCTCTTGTTATAAATACTGTACCCCATATGATAACAATAATTCCAAAGAATATTTGAATGTCAGCACCTTTCCCCAAATTCCCTGCTAGAATAGTATATTCTCATATAAATAACAGACCTGGATGACGGTGCCACCATCTGGGTTTTAGTGAGCTATGAATCACACAAAAATAATTCTGTTTTCTTAGACACAAAAAACCAAAACATAGATAGAGGCAAAGTTTTGAAATCGGTGCCCATTAGAGCAGAAAACTAACTCTGTCAAACAAAAGTAAAGTGGCTAAGTGGGATCAGTGTGGGAAAAATAAATGATGCAGGGTGGATGAATTCTCTGTAACTATCCAAGTGTTGCGCTGCACAGTCATATGCGTGTTGGGAAAATCTGGGCAAAATCAGGTCTTCAGATAATATTCTGCAGTTCCTCCAAAGCTCTGTATAAGACATATCCTGATGCTTTCTGGTCACTGAGAGATTTCTGCAGGGAGGCAAGTCTGCTTGAGATTGAACAGTTTCTTTTACTTAATCCACATTGCATATGGTCATTTCAAGAAGTGGCAAATGTTAAATATCTTCAAAATTTGCAAAAACTTGAGGCTTGCAGGTACGTGCATGTGCAGATGTAAATGAAAAAAAAACATCTAGGTAATTGTGTAACTAAAATTTGAGAACTCCTGGGTAACTTTTGTACATAATATTTGAAACAGATTGCTTATGGATCTGCCATCACAACAACAGTCATAAAAAATTCAGATCAATGCAACACCTGCACCACTGTGCTTGGATTGCCTGTTTTTAACTCTGAAAATCCTACAGGACAAATTCCCTTTGAGAGGACTCGAGTTTCACTCAATTTCTGAGCAATTACATGATTTAAAGATTTGTGGGATATATCTACATTCTTGTTTTGTTTTCAATGTAGCATGCAGAAACAAGGGGTTTTGTACAGTGAAGCAGCAGTTATTTAATAAGCCAAAACCAGTTTTGGAATAATTTTGAATTATGGCACATATTTTAAAGTAGTCTCAGAAATGCAACAATCTTAGCTCCTTCTCCAATGTTCACTGTCTGTTTCTGAACATATTGGTCACAGTACTTCATCTCTTAGAAACAACCTTAGAAAACACAGCTGATTCCCATTTGTCATGGCACTGAAAAGCATTCAGTATTTCTATTTAAAAATTGTTTATGTTGAGTCTTACTTTACAGGCTTAAAGACTTAAAATTTTTGATAATAACAGTCTAGGCAATGCAGCAGATTCATTAAATCTATTTTCTAAATTTTATTGAAACCTTCTCCAGCTTCTTGGATATCTAGGGAATGATTGTAGTCAGCCTCAACAAGCACTAAACTCACAGTTATATAGCAAATATTAACCCTAAAATTGTAATTTAAAAAATAAACTATGACCTTTAGTGAAGAAATCTGCAGAGAACATTCCCTGTTATGTCTGAGCAAGACTTAAAGGGCAACTGCTTCTTCAAAAAAGAGCATAGTTTCAATAGGAAGAGAGAGTATACGATTACTAAATATTGGAAAATCCAAGTACAAATTTACTTTGCAATCACAAAGTGGAATGCTGTTCTTTAGGAACTTGAAAGGAAGTTTCATTTTAAAGATCACCATTTTTTCCACTAGGAACTTCACTCAGAAGTTCTGTTTGAAGTTCCCAAGAGGAAAAAATGTGAGAATTTCTATGGCAGTCACAGGAGGGAAGAACAGGTATGTTTATACCAAAATCATTTATAGTTACTATTCCTTTGGATGGCAAGTTTGGGAAGCGGTAACCATGCTGTTCAGTGCTGCTGAGGATTAAAATACATTTTACAATAATGGCAGCTAATGCTGGTTTTGGAAAGATCCTTCGGATGCACAGCACGACAGGTGCAGCGTCGCACCCCAGATGATTCCTGGAATGCCAGCTTTCAAAGAAGGGACTCTGCTTTAAGAATTTCCAGCCAAATTTTCCACAATTCACAAGGTTCTTGAACACTTCAATCTGAGGAAAGGCACAGCAATGCATAAGATGGTATCAGAAGTAGCAATATATGATACCATGGCAACTTTCCAGCCCTGTGATGCCAGCAGGCTGGGATTTGGGAGCAGGGGACAAGGGAGCAGTTGATCATTCTTTTAACCTGAAATTAATTCTGAAATCCCAGTGTTAGTTTGCATTCTATTAATCTTCATTGTTAAATTAAAATTCTTCCAGGAAGACTGAGGAATTGTTTTTATAAAAATCTTACAGGTTTTCTCAATTTACCACTTTCATGATAATACAGCATGTTATACATTATAAATGCATTTACACATCTATACATTAGATTACAAGTACTTTGAACTAAGGGAAGACCTGTCTGAATGTCTACCAAGCAAGGGATTACTTATAAATACCAAGGTGGAGACATACAGTTCATTATCTGATTTAAATTCTGGAACTATCCCATTTTGAAACAGTTTCATGAGCTGATTCAAGACAGGTATCTTAGGCAATTTTACTTAACTTGAAAGAAAACTATTTTTAGATTTCTTGAGAATTAGTATTCTTGAGACTAACTAGGTTAACAGCTTAAATTGAAAAAATAGAAAGGAAGAGGAAAGAAGCAGGAATTTCTCTGGAATAAACTAAAAGCAGAGTAAAAAAGAGAGAAGTATTTCATACTGGGACTCTGCACTAGTATAGACAGAGATGTGCTCTTCCTAGATTTGGTGACAGGTGAAAAAATTCTCACATTCTCTTTTTAATTTTGTTTAAATAATTCAAACACACCAACATTATTTCATCCCTGAGTTTTCTAGTTTTGTACACCTAAGAATCAGGTACAAATAATGAAACCCAAAGAAGACTGTAAGCTGTATGAGAAAATCATACTTATCACTGAGGAAAGATTGGTCTTCCAGAATATTCTCAGGTTCACTTCTGATATGAGTGAGAGTCTGCTTAATTTACCATCTGAAATCAGAAGTTCTCTATAGGACACATTCAGGCAGCAAGTAGCAGAAGGAATTCTGCATATTCTGTGACCTGAAGTACTGTTTGAAAGAATAATTAAACTTAATTATTAACCATTTTAACCAGTTTTCAAATTAATTAGTTGTTTTAAAAATTTCTTAGACTCATTGCTAGGAAAAATCCTTACCCAGGAAATACTACAGAAAAAACCAAATTCAAAATGTGCTGTAAAATTGGTTCCTAAATAGATCAAAATTGCCTTTGGGAGCAATTCTATCACAACAACATTTCAGCTTTGGCCTAAGATATTTGATTGATTTCAGTGGAGCTCCAAGATTTTAGATCCTGTGGTTAGGTTATAATTGCTACACAAATGTAAAGGTTTTAAAGCAGATTTATCACATATAATTGGAATGTTATTATAATAATTTTTGTGTTGCTTTTATGCCTTTATGCAATTACATTTTTAGAAGATATTAACTGCCTTTTATAATGAAAACAATATATTTTACATTGGTGCACTGCACCAATGAAGAATCTGAAAGTATTCTTGTAAAACTAACCCCATGACATGATCAGAATTACAGTGCCTTACTACCATTTTTCCCTGTTATTTGGGAGTGTTGGTGCTGTTCAGTAACATAAGGAACATCAACAGATATGATACTTATTAAGCAGAAATGTAGTTCAGAAAGAAATTCGTGCTGCAGAAAGGACTAATTAAGTAAATAGTACCTTGGGCTGCTGTTTCTTTTATTTTTTAAAACATAGACTAGACTTGAGAAGCTGTTATGCTGGCTGAAAAATCATTTTAATATTACAGACCTGTACTAAACACCCTTAACTGCGGCACTGTACTCTGAAAAACTTCCAAGTGTCTTATGATTTATCTTGCTTTGGGGTAAAGTACAAAATCGTTGGGTAAACCTACATATATTATTACTAATTTATAACATTATTAGTTCCTAATAGTACTTCCTGTATTACAGTGCCTGTAATGCTTTTCATTGGAGAATTCTGCAGCACTCTGTGTTAATGAACTGCCTGCACCTTATTAAGGCACCATTCCCACCTTACAGGAAATTGCAGCAGACCAATGGATAGATCCAGTTCAGGAGTGCAAATGCTTGGGAAAGTCAGGCTAATCTAATCTGCTCAAGGTCACATAGCAGCTTTATAGTCCAACCAAGAATAAAAACCCCAGGGCTTCTAATTCTCCTTATTCTCCTTCCAATTCCCTTTTCAATTCCGACTTCATGCCATTTCATAGCAGCCTCTCCCAACCCTTATGACAATTTATAGCTGGATTACATGCTGAACTGAAAAGCAAAGAGGTTTCTCATTGTTTCAGCATAAAAATAATTTTTTTTTAAATAAAGCTGCTTCTTTCCACTTGCTTCTCACCAAAAAAAAAAAAAAAGAAAAAAAAAGAATCAAGTACTAACTACAAACTCAGGATTTTGTTGTTTCAAGGCTTTTGTGCAGAAATACTTCTGTTGGTGACTGAAAACTGCAGCAATGGGGGGTAGTCAGAGCAAATATAACAAAGCACCAATTTTTGTCTTGATTTTTAAAAATATAATGGGATTCAAAAACGGGTACAGTTTTTCCTGTTAACTCCTATTAGATACAAACTTATCCCGACACAAAGATCAATCACTGAGAGGAGTACAATACAAACATGTTAAGGCTTACTGGCACACAAACTTGGAACAGCTCAATTATATCTCTATAATTAAGAACATCTCTATTGCTGACAATATAAAAAAACAATTCCAGCCTAAATGTATTCACACCCCAAGGTCAGATAAGGTGAACAGCTTCAGAAATTTATGGAAGGACAATCATAATGTGATGTCAGTTAGACCCATGTAAAGTATCCCTATACAGACTGGGTTATGTAATGAATAATTCTCAACAACAGAAATATAATTCTAAAAGTTTTGGAATCTGAAATTAGGCTGGTGGTTTTCCTTCAGTAAAACTAGAATAAGTTACATATCATAGCAAATGCAAATGCACTCAGTATAGCTTATACATTCTTTAAAAACAGGCAAATGAATTATCCAGAGCGTATAGGACACAGTGCTTAAGAGAATCCAGTATCAATCTATTCAAATCCAATAACGTAATGACTAAGTCAATTAATTCTAAGCATTAAATGTTAGAAATAATACTATCATCAAAAGTCCTCTTCATAATACCTTAATTCTGATTATAATGTAATTTGTGAAATAATGGACATTTGAAAACACTTGGCACATGTCCAATGGTTGAACAGAAAAGTATCCTTTTTTAATATTAATTGGAAGGAAACAATTCAGCTACTTCTATCCACCCATGTGAGATATGCCTATGTAGAGTTTAGGGGACAATGAGAGCACATTTCTGAGTGTGAAAACTTAAAAATTTTGGAAAAGTTTTCTGTCTAGAAACAATTGTGAGTCTTAATTTTATTACAAGCAGAGCAATTACTTTAGGTCTATGTTAGAATGACACCAATCAGGGCCAATTGAATAACTTTAGAGCTGTGCCCTAGAAGTGAGATTTCATTCAGAAGAATCCCAAATTACCTATTCCATGAGACTAAAGACTATGTGGGAAAGGAGAGTTATCCCAGAGAGATAACCCTTTATATGGCATGAAACTTCTCTACCACGCTTTTATGCTCTGCTCCAAAGCAAGAGTAAAGTAAGAGAAAGTAAAATTTTTGTAAACAGCTGCAAGTTGAGCTCAGTGATCTCTTTTCATACAAGGAGCAGAGGACAAAGTACAAAAGGACCACAGACCCAAAGCCAAATAAACATTGCAGCAGTTCATATTGCTGATTAAGAGTCTTGTAGGCACATAAGAATTTAGTTCACTTTCATTTTATTCAAACTATGGGCATATTTTTGTTAGGAAGATGCACTAAGATTTCCTAAATGAGGTAGTACCTAAAAACCCATGAACCCACAGATTGTCCAGAAATGCTGCCTTGCTGTTGTAACACCTCTTTGGGTAATGAAAAAGTTTAAAGGTTTCTCTTTAAGCATCAACACAAAATATATGTTGGCACAAAGAAAGACAAAGACATTAACATTTTAAAGTCCTAATCTCAGCAGTGAATTTATATGTGTGAGCTTTTTCTAATGAGATTGCAGTTTTATAACAGCCAACAGTTACTACCTTACAGGAATAAAACAAAAAAAAGGAATAAAAAAGGAAATAGCTATTTGGTGTGTAATGGTAGGAGCTACAAAGTAGCAGCAGCTGGCTGCAGGCTTCTACCCGGTACACAGACTATAATGGATAAAAAGGAAAGCTAAGAAATGTTAGCATGAACTATAAACACCATTAAATCACTGGCAGGTGATATTAGCAGATAGGAGTTTTGAAGGAAGTTTGCTTCCCTAAGGCAAGCATTACATTTCCTAATTCCTTTTCTGACTGCAAATATGTAGCACAACAGTAATATATACAGTATAAACACACTAATAAATTTCTGAGCTAAATAAACCTTCTACAGCTGCAGTTTACACACTTATATTTTATGGTATCTTTGAAAAATATCATACTCAAACCTTCCACATAAAAGTCGCTGAATTACAGTTTCATAAAGATCTTTAATATGCTCAGCACATAAAACCAGGTACATTCTAGGGATACTTGTAAATAGACATAAATAAAAATGCAGTCCTATTAAGATGCAAAGAGTGGATAGTGATCAGATTAGCACAGATGAGAAGGCCAATTTTACTTATCACATTGGCATATTTGAAATGGACTTGCATTAGCATTTTGTTGAATTAAACTTACACCTCTAATTGTTAATTAAGCATCTGAATTAATATAAATTGAGGTAACAAAGATGCCATGCCAGTTCTTCAGCCAAACAAGCAGTAGTTGTGTAATTATAAAGCTGTAAGATATAATGATATGTGGCTGATAAGTAGCTTTTGTGTGTATTTCTACAGTACAGCAAAAAGGTCAAACTTCAGCCTCTCTGCCTCTGGTATAATTAATTGAATGTTATTAATTTTCCCCCACTCCTTTTCACAAAGAATAACTTAATACTCATAGATATTTAGGAAATAAAATTAGAATTTGATGCAGAGGAATTACTAGAGACCTGTCTTTTAAAGGAAAAAATTCCTCAGAGGGTCAGGATGGCAAATTCAACTGAAAGGACCTCATAGTCCATCTTTTCTCAAAGTAAACAAACAAGTACGACTTGAAGGGACCATAGAGAGCAATTTCTTACCAAGTCTTAACACTGATTAATAAATATATTAGTAAAATAAATAAAAATACATCAGTAAAATAAATATATTGGTCAAAACTGCATCTTCCACTGGTAAGCAAATTCTTGCTAATAAAGAAGGCAAATAGACTGCAATACAGAACAGGCAAACATATTAGAAAAGAAATAGATGTAACATTTCTTGAATTGAAGCTCGATGCCTTCAACACATATCCATCATCAAGCTATGTGCACATTCAGCCCAGCAGATAGCTGTAGAGATGCAGGAATGAAAGCAATTTAGGGAACATTTGGAAATGCCTGACAACTGGAATAAAACACATAAAACAGCCCCAAGTGCAACACTTGTGTCTCTCACACTGCTCCTCAGGCTGGTACTGGGAGACAAAGATGACAGGCTGAACACATGGAGTAAGTAAAAGACAGATTATTTTCTGGCTATTATGGAAAATCAGAAATCAGATCCTTGCTCCTTACCAAACCTTTTTCCAGTGCCAAAGTAGCACATTAAAGTACAGTAAAAGAATACTCACCACTCATAAGAGTCCGAGAGCAGACATCTAATACCACAAAATTCTAATGATTTTCTCCAGGACTTCTGAGATTCACTAGGGTCCTACCTGATTGTCTTTTCCACTTTTTAGTTAGGAAAGACAGACCTTAGGAAAGTTTCAGTGCAGTCCAAATTTTTCAAACTTTGATGTACAGCCCAAACCTGAACTCATGCCAGTAGTAAGACCAAAGATTTAGGCACATGTCAAAAATTCCTACACTTCAGTGGAAAACAAAGCAATTCCTTTTCTTTAGTCCAGACTGTTATGACGACTTCCCTGTGCAAAAACATCCTCTGCATCTACAAGTTTAAGGCGTCCTCACAAAAACACTTTCCATTGTTACGCCACTGCATTCCACAGCACAGTGAATTCCAGCAGAGCATGCTCCTCAGCACACAGCATCAATTCTGCCCCATAGCTCAGAGCCATGGTGCACCCAAACACCTCTTCCACACTTTTCTTTTAGTGCTGCTTCATTTCAAATCAATTACAGCTTCTCAGAAAGGCTCTTTGATGGCTGAGAGTGCCTACAGCAATTTTTTGGCACCCTTAAGCTCTGTCAATTTTCACCTAAGTCTTAAAGGTAAAAATTATATTTAGGAGCTATCACATACATTCAGGATGTGGACTTTAGGACTTCAGATTTGTGAGACTTGTGACAAATGGTGAGAGAAAGAAACATCAGAAACTTTAACTAGAAAGAGCTACAATAGATGTGGTCGGACACAAAATAAAAGCATGGTAAGAGTTGCTCTCAGATTCAAATACTGTGTTTGCTGTTTATGATAATCAATTTTTTTAGTAGCAATTTTTTATTTGAATATGTAGAATCAATTTGGAAAACATCTGTTGCACCTAGGTATCTTATAATGACCTTTTCATATTTTTCACCTCAAATCTGAATGCTCTTATCAGTATTCAGAGAGTTGATGTTAGGAATACCTATAGCAGAGAAAGAGGCAGAGGTAGGGAGGGGCTCTGATATATTCTCATAATTAACTGCATATTAATTAGAGCAATAAAGAGTTAGAATGTTCAAAGCCATTCTCTTAAGACTAGGTAGGCTGTACAACACATGTACTTTAATTGATTCTAATCCCTTGATTTTAGCTCCTCAAGTAGACACAGTCTGACAGCAGACTGGTCTCATTGTGCCACAATAACTGGACATTTCCCCAAGGACCAATCCTTCAAAGTAGCATAGAGGAGACAGGTACCTCCATTATCATACATTTTCTCTCTCAGTCTCCTTCCTTCCCAAATAAAAGAGAAAAATCCTCAAAGCACCAAATTTTGTTATTTTAGTTTCAAACTTCACTTCTTCTGTAGGAGGAGATGATCAATTTTGTGATCCTAGATCCATGTTCTAGCTGCAGTTAATTTTTTCCACTTACTATATAGCTTATGAGCCACATATTCCATACTATTCTTGTCCACTTATTTTTTTCTCAGAAAACTAAAAAAAAGAAAAGTTGATGATCAGTACTCATTTCTCTTTTCACTGTTATCTATTACCAGTACAACACTGCTATATAAAGCAAAGA